AACGAAGATTGTAACTTTTATATTGCTCACGTTACCTTATTTAGGTCAACCACTTAAGAATAGTCGGTTAAAATAAAGGTAGAAAATGTTTTAGTCAACCTCGATAACCTCGAAGGAAAATATGCTAAGTAGCTTGGTGCGCAGTCGCAATAGAACCTTATTGGAACTGCGCGTGACATTACGTTGGCGTAATTGACAGATTGAAATTGATTTGATGGATGACGTGGTTGTCCCTTTTTAAAGGAACATGACGAGTTAGCTCCTTGTAGTTGTAGTAATTGCTGTAACCAGACAAGAGTAGCAGTAAGAGAACGTTGTGAGTATTTTACCGAAGTCATCAATAGTGGAAATAAAAAGAGAAGCAACCAAACAAAGAGTGTTGAAGCTAATTTCCCCGAAGGTCGCTTTAACACACGCTCAAAATTCACCACCAAGCCGCGATTGTGAGACAGTTTCTCAAACCTTCGTTGCCTTGGTGGTTTTTTTTCACGTGGGTATTCTTTTCATCTTTGCTTCTTTGGTAATTTGTTCATGATAAAATTTGCAATTTGCCTTCTAAAACCGAGGCTTGGTCGTCCTTGGCGTTTGAGAACGTAGACCACGTCGACGGTTTGAGAAAATCATGACGGCAAAGTCAACAGGAACGTCACTAAACATAAGATTTAATGAGAGATTCGCAAGTAAAGTTTAAATTTACTTTAAGTCCCTACTGTCTTTCATTTGGCGTGCTGGACGAGGTCCGAGTTATGTACAATGTAATTTATTCTCGCAGACCCTCTCCACAGCCTGCGATGAACTGGGTAGCATCACTATCCATTTTGAAGAAGAAATACTCCTACACGCTCTACAAAACCCGGAGTAATCTCCGGTACCTATGAGACACTCGCTCAATACACTCTTCCATTGACAGTTTCATTAACCACCCCTGCAAAATATGTTTTTCGCTCCATTGTAAATATCCTTCATTCTCCAGAGGTAAAGCGCAGGGTTGAGTGAAGAAGACAAAAGTGTAAGCGCTATAGACGCTTTTAAGGCGGCGTACACTTCTAACCTATCCTGCATGCTTAGATACACCCCACTAAATATGATATAAGGCAAGAAACACACAGTAAATAGTAAGAAAATATACACCATCGAGGCCACAGATTTCTTGTATTTCGCCAAGTCTATTGCCTGTCGACCAATGTTGTGAGAAGTTGCTTGGACTCGCTGTTGGTGACAACGAATGATTCGGTAAACTTTAAAATAGGCAAATGAGGTGGTAAGATAGCAAGTGAACGAGGATGCAATAATTGCAAATCTCCTGTAATTTTTGTATTTCCGACTCTCATTTTCCAAAACACGAAAAACAATTGTGGAGACGGGAATGAGTGACAGTACGATCATAACGGAACATCCCCGACACGATGTGAAGAGGGATCGTCTAGTCGACATGTGAAGCCATCGTTCAACGGACATCAGTGTTATAAGAAGAACCGTGAGGGCAAGAAAGAAGATGGAGCCACACTCGCCGGTTGTTTTTAAGATGGTGATAAGTTTCGCCTTGTCGCCAGGAACTCTGGGGTTAGCCAAGCACATGAAGGAGGCCGCAGCATAGCAAGGTTGGGAGAGTAGTCCTGTGCAAAAATCCGTGAGCGCTAATGCACTGAGAAGAATATGGAATGGTGTTCTCGCAAAGTTGTTCTTCCAAATTACCGCCAGGATCAAAGCATTCCCCGCCACTGCCACCGGTGATAAAACAGTGATAATAACAGGTATTGAGAAAAGAACATTGTAAAGATAAGATTCGTTCTCGATTACGCGAATCTTACGATCGTTCCAGTTACAAACATGGGCGAAAGAACTTTGTCTAAAATAGAAAGATGTGTTGTTGAACATGGTCCAACTAGGTTTGCTTGCACAGGTGTGACGCTTTGACTAAAATTTGTACTTTAAACTGAATATTGGGGATTTCGCGTGTCGACAGTTTTTAACATACAACTATCATTTTGATTGTTTTATTCGGCGCAAACTAATGATAAATTTGCCTTGAGCAATTTGCGGTAAGTTGTTTACTTTCGTCCAAAAAAGATCATTTCTGGACTGACGTAAAAAGGAACTAGAGCAAACAATTAAAACATAGTTAATAGAGGGGACTGGTTATGAAGCCAAACAAACATCAAAGGAGCAAACAAAGATGCCAAGATTTATGTTGGAAGGTCCACAACCATGGACAATCTTTTGTTTCGCGTTCATACACTATGCATGAAATACGTAACCAACACGTTTCTATTGGTTAGTTCCTCAGCACGGAGTAAACAACGATAAAGTTTTGTGCACGGTCAAGGCCACAAAAGCGAACAAAAACATACAACGAAGAACATTGTCGGTTTTCATAACGACTCCCCTATATTAACTATGACTAAAACAAAAACAACAGAAAGCAGGTGAAGCAATCTGCATTTGATAGCAGTTAAAATTAAAAAATCCATCGCTCTCATATTCACTAGGCAGTTCAGCTTCATATGGATGCTTCACGCTAATTTAAAACGAAAAAATTTGGGTTTCATGCTATAGCGTTGATGAGCATTTAATATGCGCGTTTCCCATAACAAGAGCGTTCTACCATCCCTGGATTTTATCAGTTATTTCTTTATACATGAAAGAAAATTAGTTACCAACAAAAATAAAATCAATTTTTCAGCTCGGCTATTTCTTTGAAAAGCAGTCAGTTTTAATTCCAAGGTTTTGTGCGCTTTTTCAGGACTCGGTATTATCCGAGGCTACACTATGTGGGGCTTATGCATGGATCCTACTATACCAGACAACATTGAGTTAGCTTGATGATAGAAGAGGATAGAAATTTGTTGTGACTCAAAAACTGTTATAAAAAGCAAACACGTCAAAAACACTGAAATGACAGCAGTGGTGCTGAATAGAAATAGTCAGCAGGTGAAATGATCTACATTTAAATTACTTTCTAAAAGTAGATATTAAAAACTTCCTCACTTTTACCGACCAGCACAATTAACTTTAGCTGATCTCTTAATTATCGCTGAGCTATGTCCTATAACGCAACTCCTTCTCCAACAATTATTCCCGAAACGGCTTTAATTTGTTCATTTGCGACTTTCACAATCATCGCTGTTTTGTCACCGGTGGCAGTGGCGGGAAATGCATTGATTTTGGCAACAATTTGGAAGAAGACATTTGTGAGAACACTGTTCCATATATTTCTGAGCGGGTTAGCGTTTACTGATCTATGCACAGGACTCATTGCCCAGCCTTTCTATGTCTCGCCGACGCTGATGTACTGGGTAAACCCAGGCGTAGTTACCAAAACGCCGCTACTTATCACCATATCGGCAATCGGGAAAAGCAGTGCGGTCTACTTTATTTCCGTCACGACCCTTCTGATAGCATCGATGTCCGTTGAACGCTGGCTGCACATGTCTCGGCGATCCTTGGTTACAACACGTCGTGGATGTTTCACTGTTGCGATTCTGTTGCTCATTCCAATTCCCATTGTTGTTCATTGCGTTTTATGGACTGTGCATGAAAGATATAGAACTGCGACTGAGATCATGATTATCACCGTGTTG